TGTTTTCATATATATTGCTTAAACAATCTTTTTTGAATGTAGAACACGTAAGCCGAGTTATACTTTATTATTTTTATTGAATAAATAACTTGTTATTACAGGTCATCCTTATGCAAATATTTAAAACTATCGCTTTATATACAAAATTTCCCAACACCTGATAGTACAACAGAGATTACAACGTCAGTCTTTATTACAGAATGAAGGTAACATTGGTGCTGTTAGTTTTGGCGTGTGCCATGAGTCTCGCTTATGGAGACCTAGTCTGCGGTTCAAGCTACTGCAAAGACAACCCATGCACGGCGAAAATCAGCGCAAAGGCCTGTAAAACGCCTGCGTTGTACCGAGCCAACCACGCTGGCAAATGTGCTTGCTGCCCGGCCTGCGTTACTTTATTATGTAAGATATAAAACCTATAAAAGAGTATATTAACTTGAAATTGCAGTATTGTAGGTGTAGCGACATCTCTGACATTGATGTCACACTGAAACTGACTAACAAACTTATTCGGACCGCATAGGACTTCTCTCCTTAGCCACTGGGGTCTTCGGGCCAGTCAGTGGATTGTCGAGGGTCCCCCCTTTAGGTTGGAGAGCAGCATAAGCCTCCACATGCGTAATTTTGATTTCGAAACTGCTTGACTGTTACATTGAGTGACATGAATCGCAAAATATGTTGCTCAGCGCAAAACTCGAAGACTGCTGGACCAATTCGAGTAGTTTTTTTAAATTTATTTCATGCACTCTGAGGGAGGTTAAGGTCACCATAAATGGTGAGTACTTAGGCTTACTTTTAAAAGGCCGGCAACGCACTCGCGAGCACTTTGCCATTGAAAGTATCCATGGGCGGCGATATCACTTAACATCAGATGAGCCTCTTGCCCGTTTGCCCTATATTGCCGTTTCTATATAAAAAAAGGTTTTATTCCGAACCGTCAGTCTCTATGGGATGATATAATAAAATGTTCCATATTTATGTAGCTACTAAAAAGGTAGGCTAAGTAAACGAATCGTATTAAGGCGAAACGAAGTTTGCGGGGGCAAATAAATATTCAGCCGTGCGAAGTCATGATATATTATTCGAGATATTACATAAACTATTTGTTTTTTCAGCTGAAGGAGCCGCCTGCAAGACTTACAGCAAGGAGTTAGGAGAAACTCCATCAGCAGTTTGTCGTGAACCACTCAAATGTCTCAAGGGTGTCTGCACCAAAGTAGCGCCTAGATCCTAATTTGATAAACCATTATTATAATTACAAAAACCAATTAATAAATAAAGATTCAAAGACAGCCGTTGTAATAAAAATTATTCGAATGGAAAGTAAAGTTAATACTGCATACCCAATTTTTGTATAAAATATACTTTATCTCTATAAATATACCGTTTTTTTCTTCCTAACAGAATAAAGCTACTTAAATTCATCTTTTGGTAATGTAGGTACCTACAATGATCCCTGGATCGAACCCAAACCTGGCAAGAAAGAGGGTAGAAGCGTCGAACATCTTCTGGATACTTCGAATATTTTGTGATACGATTGATAGGTTGGGCCTGCAGAGGAAACTTTTGCAATCTTCAGGATGCCATAAAAGCTCGCCATCGCTGAATTTCGTGCCATCAATGGCATGGATTAAAGCATTGCTATCGAATTTTGTAGAGTAGATGGTGGGTTAGAGATATATTTATGAATCAGTAAAAGGGAATAGCCAGAGTAATTGTTATGGTAATGTAACTATCCTGCACCCAATTTGGCTTTAGAAGCGGTTTAGGGACGAGAGACGCTCTCTTTGGCTATCAAGTGTTGATACAGAGATGCTTGGACATGAATAGGGATCTTTTCGTCTGTTTTGTCGATTATGAGAAAGCTTTTGATAATGTACGACATGGTAAAATGATGGAAATACTCCAGAGAATTGGCTTAGATTATAAAGATTGCTGTTTCATTAAAAACCTATACTGGAAGCAAAGTGCTAATATAAGGGTAAACAGCAAACATTCTTCATATATCGAGATTCAGAGAGGTGTGCGTCAAGGTTGCATTTTATCACCTTTGCTATTTAACTTGTATGCCGATGCAATATTTTCAGAAGCCCTAGATAATTGTCAACATGGCATAGCAATTAATGGCAAACTGCTGAATAACTTGAGATACGCTGATGACACGATCTTAATCGCAGAGAGCCTCGATGGTCTACAGAATTTAGTCAATTCAGTTGCTACCGTGAGTTCTGAATTTGGTATTAGCATCAATGCGAAAAAGTCAAAATATATGACAATAAGCCGAACACCGGAGCTTTTCACGCAACATATATACCTCAACAATCAGACCTTGGAACGTGCCTCGAAAATACGATATCTAGGCACAGTGATTGATGAAAAGGGTGACCATAGCATCGAAATCCGCTGCAGAATTGAACAAGCTCGGAACGCCTTTTCAAAACTAAAAAAAGTACTTTGTGACAAGCGCCTAAATTTACAGCTTAGAACTCGCATTGCGCGATGTTACGTCTTCTCTGTGCTGCTCTACGGCGTAGAATCTTGGACGCTGACAGAGACTATGTCCAAAAAACTGGAAGCGTTTGAGATGTGGGTTTATCGACGTATGCTTAAAATATCTTGGACAGACCGCATACGAAATACAACCGTGCTGGACAGAATGCAGAAGAAAAAAGAAGTGCTTATGACGGTTAAGAAAAGGAAACTTGAGTATTTCGGACACGTTTTACGCAACTCCAAAAAATATGAGCTCCTTCAACTAATCCTACAAGGCAAAGTGGCAGGTAGAAGGAGACCTGGCCGCAGACGCACGTCCTGGTTGAAAAACTTGAGACAATGGTTTGGTCAAAGCACCAAGTCATTGTTTAGAAGCGCGGCATCCAAAATTAAAATAGCCATGATGATCGCCAACCTTCGCAAGGAGATGGCACTATAAGAAGAAGAATTGTTATGGTCGGCCAGTATATTTTTGAGAATAGAGACAATAGTTATGTGTGTGAATATTGGTATATGCCGGTAGAAGACGAAGTAGTACTCTTTTTATAACATAGGAGTTGGCTGATTGAAGCTTGTTTTTAGGTAACAGTATGACAGTGCTTGCTGTATGAAGTGTGTGTTTGAGAAAATGTATGCGTAATATATTAAATGAGGTCTGGATTTGATTAGTATGATTTGGTGTTGGTATGTGTGATACATCATATAGGCTAATGCAAAAAAGACTAGTCATCCTTGAGTCGGATGGAGTTGTTCTTCGGATTTGATGTGCCTGCAAGGGGCTCCTTCTTGACGGCGTACGTAGACCTGTCCATTTGACACCCAGCAGTATTTAAAATCATTTACAGCCCAGTCTTTGGTTATGTGATACAGTCTTTTTGTTTTCCGTGATAAGTACTCAGAAACATAGATAGACGTCGCGTCACCGGGTAAAGTGAGAAGATTAGATGATATTGATGATTTGTTGTTGTGTAATTTATAATATTTTTTCACAGCACTTAAGATCTCGGTTTTGCGGAATGTGTTAGAGAATTCCACTACAAGGCTCGATATAGAAGAATCCTTGCGGTTGGGTACCTTCACGACATCCCTTAGGATATGTACCAATTTTCATCATAGAGGTATGCTCTGCTGAGAGAAAGTGAAGAGTTCTGGCATAGGGTTTAATTGTGTTGCCTAGATATCTAAAAAATCTAATAGAAACCGCGGAGTTCCCATGTCTAGACCCAAATTATTTATATTTGTTTTAATTTTTCTAAAATAAGTGAAAACATTGCCAATTTTCATAATAGAGGTATGCTCTGGTGAGAGAAAGCGAGAAGTTCTGGTCTAGGATTTAATTATAATGCCTAGACATCCAATAGATCTAATAGAAACCGCGGAGTTCCCATGTCTGTATAATATGTTTTTTTTTAATTTAGTAAAATCTTTGAAAAATGCTCATTATTTCGTTTTCTCTCACTCTTCTTTATTTTTTTTTTGATAATTAAACCTTTTTATTTTTGGATTTAAATGATAGGGAACTGTTACAATTATTGACATGATTGTTTTAACGATACCTTATTTATCGAAATCGGTAAGAAATGCTCTGCTGTGATCGGGAAGCTGGCAGAGCATTTTACGATTTTTTTAAAATATTTTCTGGACTTAAAAGTCCAGAACTCTTTCTAAAAACAACAACACGTATTTCTTAAGAAATTCGAGATTATTGTTATTATCTTCACAAAGGGATGGAGGTTATCGTAAGTTCCTTGTATAATTACATGCATCATCATGCTTTCTTGGCATACATTTTTACGTTCTTGCTGCAAACCCATCTTAAAATGTAAGTAGGCACTTCAATATTTTTATATTTGTTTAATGCCAAAGAATTTATAAAATAAGAAATACGCCTGATAGGAATAAATCACGTTTGCCCATCACAATTGTTTAATTTTAAAATTAAAGTTCCGGAAATATTTCTAGCTCGAGTTCTTACCAGCGTCTTCTTGTGACAAGTGGGAACAGTTTTACTAACTTAACTTGTTTTAAATAGAATTAAAATGTACATATTATTTATCTAATATATAAAATTCTCGTGTCGCGGTGTTTGTGGTTAAACTCTTCCGAAACGGCTTGACTGATTCTCATGAAATGTGACCCGGGACATCCCATTAATCTAAGTCCCCTTTTATAAAAATTGAATTAACAATATTCGTCTCTTTATGTCAAATTGTGTCTACACTGAGACAAAAAGAGACACAACGAATTAGATAAAACTGTATTATTTAGTTTTTATTAATAAGTATTTGTGTAACGATTAAAAATGTTTTCATATATATTGCTTAAACAATCTTTTTTGAATATAGAACACGTAAGCCTTAACACGTAAGTTATACTTAATTATTTTTTTTGAATAAATATTGTTATTACAGGTCACCCTTATGCAAATATTTAAAGCTATCGTTATATATACAAAAAATCCCAACACCTGATTGTACAACAGAGATTACAACAACAGTCTTTATTACAGAATGAAGGTCACATTGGTGCTGTTAGTTCTGGCGTGTGCCATAAGCCTCGCCTATGGAGACCTAGTCTGCGGTTCAAGCTACTGCAAAGATAACCCATGCACGGCGAATATCAGCGCAAAGGCCTGTAAAACACCTGCGTTGTACCGAGCCAACCACGCCGGCAAATGTGCTTGCTGCCCGGCCTGCGTTACTTTATTATGTAAGATATAAAGACCTATGAAACAGTATTTACTTGAAATTGCAGTATTTTAGATGTAGCGACATCTCTGACATTGATGTCACACTGAAACTGAGTAACAAATTTATTCGGACCGCTAAGGACTTCTCCTTAGCCTCTGGGGTCTTCGGGCCAGTCAGTGGGTTGTTGAGGGTTTAGGTTGGAGAGCAGCATAAGCCTGTGCGTGCGTAATGCGTTGGACACATAATGTGCACATTAATCGCACGAGATTACGAGATGTATAACCATATAAATGTTCAAACTTGATTTTGATTTCAAAACTGCTTTTACCATTACATTGTTATATTTAGTAACGAAAGCTATATTTATTTACAAATGTATAAAATATTATAACTTATATTAGAAATGAATCGCAAAATATGTTGCTAAGCGCAAAACTCGAAGACGGCTGGACCAATTCGAGTAGATTTTTTAAATTTATTTCATGCACTCTGAGGAAGGTTTTTATACTTAGGCTTGCTTTTAAAAGGCCGGCAATGACTCGCGAGCCTTTTTATGTAGCTACTAAAAAGGTAGGCTAAGTAAACAAATCATATTAAGGCGAAACGAAGTTTGCGGGGGCAAATAAATATCCAGCCGTGCGAAGTCATGATATATTGTTCGAAATATTATATAAATCTATTTGTTTTTTCAGCTGAAGGGGCTGCGTGCAAGACTTACAGCAAGGAGTTAGGAGAAACTCCATCAGCAGTTTGTCGTGAACCACTCAAATGTCTCAAGGGTGTCTGCACCAAAGTAGCGCCTAGATTTGGTTTGAAATACCACCATTTCAATTAAAAAAACCAATTAATAAATAAAGATTCAAAGACAGCCGTTGCATTAAAAATTATTCGAATGGAAAGTAAAGTTAATACTGCATACCCAATTTTTGTATAATATATACTTTATCTCTATAAATATATAGTTTTTTATTCCTTATAAAATAAAGATACTCAAATTCATCTTTTGGCAATGTAGGTAGTATGAACGTTTTTTCCTTTAACTTCCTTCAAATTCGAATTACATATTTTTGACTCAAGTACTCATCTCTTTACGTACTATACTTACACTGGAAGAGACAATAAAGCCTTTTAAAATAGAGAGTTCTGCTGACGTACTTTTATTGAATAACGAAGTTAGCCTTGAACACTCAGTATTTTCAATTTTCTTAACGTATAAGGTAATAATAATAATCATTAAAAACTAATAAATAGAAAATTAAAACAAATTTGAAAGTTTGGTCCCTATGGCAGTTTACCTTTACATACAATGTAATTTTTACATGCTCTGTACATTACTATTTCTAAGATTTATTTTGGACACAGATTTGTGACCTTAACAAACTCCCGCAGTCTTCCGGTTCAAGCTCAAACTTCAGCAGTATAAGGTTCTTTTAACTAAACATTGTCTTTTTCCTAACAGCGACCAAAATTTAACAGAAAAAGACGAAATGTAGTTAAAAATCTGTAGTAAACCTGATATAGTCTCATATCAAGATTTTATGACTCCTTCAGTATATTGAACACGATATTTGAATATCCTTTTGTAAGACCACATTTTATGACATTTTATTGAGTAATAAAACACCACAACAGCGACTGGATTATTCAGAAGTAGGTCCGTATAAGCCGGAGTTGTAAAATAAATGTATGCAGCAAAATATGTTTTTGAATAAGGCGAATTATCAAGGAACACGTTTCGATATGCACCTCCAACACACGAGTAGTAATAATATCCGTAGCGCTTATGTCGCAACCTTGAGACCGCGTACCAAAAGTCAAAACTAAACTAAGCTATTCCTATCGGCAGTTATAGAATACATTTCGACCCGAATTTATCTCACGTGATGACATATACTAATGTTCGATTAAATTATTGACAGAGAATATTGTAAGGAACAGAGTCTTCCTACTGTAAAAGATGTTTGAAATACGTAAAGAAATGTAATAGCAGAGCAGTGTTGGCCTAGTGGCTTCAGCGTTCGACTCTCATCCCTGAGTCGTAGGTTCGAACCTCGGCTGTGCACCAATGGACTTTCTATGTGCGTCGTTACATTCGTGCAAACGATGAAGGAATACATCGTGAGGAAACCGGCTTGCCTAAGACCCAAAAAGTCGACGGTGTGTGTCAGGCACAGGAGGCTGATCACCTACTCGTCTATTATATTGACAAATGATCGTGAAACCACAGATTTTTTTAATGCAGCTTTATCAGTGTTGTCATTAATAGAATATCTAGGAAGATTTAATTAATAATAATAATATATACCGAAGAGGGTGGTTCAACGTGATACTCGTTTAAGAAACTACTGGAATTTTTGATTAATAAATCAATACTAAATTGGAATGAGCATATGATGCCTAATAACATAATTCTTCCCTCTTTTCTTGATTAGTGTTCTTTAATTAAATTTGTGCTAGAGTTTACATTTACAACGAAAATTATCCTTAATGAAAATCGTTACGTTTGATGTCATTCCCCAAATTTCCTTCCGAAATTTCCGCCCGCCCCTTGAATATCCTCGATGACCGTACGAACAAAAATAAAATGCCAGAAACAGCGACCCCATTTTAAAATAGCAATTCCATTTCTGAGGGAAATGTGAATTAACATAATCTTTATTCCTTTTCTTTATTTAGACCTCGAAGTTGCCGGCGTAATTTTATTGACGTCTTTGGTTTTTGTAAATAAAATTAACACAAATTTAATTATAGTAATCTTTTGATAACTTACTAAATATAATTTACTAAATATTAACCTCGTACCGTTTGAATGCTTATTAAAAAATATTGTTAATGATACAGATACGTAATCAAAAATACATTATGTATTATTTTAGTAATAAACAAAACACAAACTATAATTATGATGTATATACAAGATAAGAATAAGAAAGAAAATCTTTATTATACACAATAACAGGATATTTAGGTAAAATAAAGTGCACTAGGATTCCCTGTGTTGTGGGCAGCCAGTCTCTTCCTTTAATTAATTTCTACATAACACAATTTATAATTAAATTACATTTGCACAAGAATTGTCTGTATCAGCATGGAACAGGTTGACAAGATGTTGTTTAAGATTTTTAGTGAATGTATGTAATGTGAGTTTTGAAATGTTAGAGAAAATTTTGTTTTTAAGAAAGTTGTTAAAAATGAAAGGGCCTTGGGCGAAGAATGTGCGTTTCTGGGTTGCTTATGTTTGCGTTGTGTATGTGGTCCAAAAAACTGTGCATATTGGTATTAAGTATAATTGTTAGACAACAGTTAAAAGTTTTGTTTCATTGTACAATTTTGAAGTTGAGTAGCATTTCCTGTAGGATATCTTAAGAATGGCACGTTGGGTTCGCTCAATTTTCAACAATGAAGACGACGCACGACTGTTTTAATGTAAAGTGGGAACAAACCGTGATCCATGTGGTATCAAATTATTTCAGAATAAGTAGTATTATTATTATTTTCTTATGTAGCCAAGTCAAGGATCGTCATGCTCGCTTAAATGTAATTGCTTGTGGCGGCGTCCATGCGTCGGGTTGTCTCTCTCCCTAAAATATGGCGAGGGGGCCGATGGCTGGCCATGCTCGTGAACGGGTGCTGCTTGTGGTGACTGGTCGTACTTGAATTCGTGTATGCGGTGAATGTTGGTTATTTCGACTATGTGTTTGCGTGTTGTTCCCACGAGAATGTAAGTGCGTGCTCCTATTTCGCCATGCCTTCTGCTGATAGAGGACAAATCTTTGTTTTTAATTTATGTTATTATTATTAATTACATAAAATGTCACATGGGACATGGTGTAATAGTTGCAGTTCCTTACAAACATTTTGTAAAACAAAAAATGGCGATTAAAAAGAGTGGCGAAGAGTTTATTGCCAGTTCTTCTCTCCCGTTCTACGCCCTTGATTTGAGAACTGGCAGTAAATGTAAAATTGGAAGCTTTAATATCTATTTCTTTAAAAAACCTTAATGCGTAAAGGTTACTACACAGTCAATGACTACCTGGAAGATAAAAACGCTTGGCAATAGTTGTAATTATATTCTTATAATTTGATTTGTGTGTAATGGTGAATGTGGTAAATCACAGAACAGATTTTTATATTTTTTTTACTTATGTAACTTTAATGACATTGTGGTTTATGACATTTTCCTTTAATTAATTGTAATGTAGAGGGAGGGTAAAACTTGCTGAGTTTCTTGCCCGTTCTTCTCAGAACAAGGCCTCCTGGTAGTTTTGCGAACGGATGGCGTAGACTTGCTCTTTCGCGAATTTTGTAAACGTTTTTGACATTCATAAGCATGCGCTAAGACGTATCTAAATTGAATAAACGTATTTTGATTTGATTTGATTTACTGACAAGTCATAAGTGTACATTATGTTACCTATGTGATTAAATGATTTTTTAATTTTACTTTCCTTTACCAAAAATCTCGTTTAATACAATACAAAAGCCAAAGCAACATAAATAAGAAGATACTCAATAACTGAAGTACTCATCGGTCTCTTTTCATCCCAGCATAAACACAATTTGAAAGGAAGAGAGAGAAGAGTTCTTTAATTAAAGGAGCGCAATTAGACTGATTTAGTATTAATGAATAAGCCGATATGATAGTGTCAAACATGCAATTAAAATCACTTAAAAATTAACTTCTATTCGTTTGTATTGTGATGTCTTTCAAGAAATAAAAATTTGTCACTTGGTTGTCATATAGATGCATAGCTGTAGGTCCGATCTCTTTGCTCTGTTTAAAAAAAAAATGTACTAAGTATTGACACAAATATACATTGGTGATACGAAGTTCATCGGGTCATCTAGCATAATATAATAATTATCTTAATTACATATTGTTGTCTACATGGCCATTCTCAAGTCGTGGTCAAACCTGCTTGGAGTACATCGAATTTCGTTTAACGCCATCTATGTGCTAGAGCTTAGTACTTTATAACTAATTGTATAATTTTCTCACAGTAATAATTAATTGATTTTTTAAACGTTAATAATAAACTCAAATCCTCTGAAGGATATTACATTAAATTTTACAAATTGGGTAACCCATTAATCCATTTTCGTTTTAGCTCCATCGCGTATTGTGTTGAAAAGACTTAATAATTAATTCATGGATTATAAAGGCTTATACTTAAATCAACGTATTTTTAACCACAAAATAATTTGAAGCAAAATCTCATCTCATTCTAACATATTTCCCATAAATATAATAAAATAATATTTCTCTAACAACTCACAACAAAACTCGAATGAGAGATTTTCAGGAAAAGTCGTCAGCTAATGACGGCTAAATAAAGTTGACAGGTATTCGACATATTCCATCAAAATACCTGCTGAAACCATCTCGAGTAGTCCAAGTGGCCCTCGGAGTCTTTTCGCGGGCTAGTCCTCACTATTATGACGTCATAATATTGTGCACTAGCTTTGAGTGCCTACCTCAAACAAAATTGTTTCGGGATTCGAGCCCTACAGGCTTCACTCAACTAAGGTTTTAACGAGAAAATAGCTAATGATTTCCACATAGTATCGCGAAAACAAACAATCAAAGACAACCAACTTCCCACAAAATTCATTTCCACGTCTCCCAACACGGCTGGTCCCCGCGGGAGCACTAGACCAAAACCCTCCAGCTAAAAGATGTGAAACATTCAAAATTGGAACACTTAACACAAAAACCTTTCCAAGACGGTTGGTCACCGCGGAAGAGTATGACCACAACCCTCCACAAGGCTATGAGGATAAAACTCAATTAAAAAACAATATTATTTACATCTGTACGTACAACGTTAGATCGCTGCTCGCAGAAAATAGATTACCAGAATTAGATCAAGTGCTAGATAAAATAAAATATGATATTATTGGATTATCGGAAGTAAAAATTGAAGGCATAAAAAATAGAACAATATAGAAACTATATCTTAATGTATAGAGGAGACAAAAGTGGGTCAAATGGAGTAGGATTTATCGTCAATAGTAACTTAAAAAAAGAACATTATAGATTTCACAACTTACTCAGACAGAGTCGTAAGATTAGACATTCAGTGTGACACAACTGTGTTAAACATAATACAAGCTTACGCACCTATCGAAAGAGCTAAAGAAGAAGCGGTGGAACGATTTTACAACCATGTCACTCAAGCTCTCTCAAACACTGGGAAACACGTCATTATACTAGGGGACTTCAATTCAAAAATTGGGCTTCCTCTACCTGAAGAACACAAGATCTGTGGGCAATATGGATATGGAGAAAGAAATGAAAGAGGGGAAAGACTACTACAATTCTGTTATACAAACAAGTTCGTTATATCTAATACCATATTTAAGAAACCTCAAAAACGGAAATGGACATGGCTATCACCCAATGGCAAAACTAAAAACGAGATAGATTTCATATTGATTAAAGATAAAAGATTCATAACAAATTTTGAAATTCTCTCTCCAAAATTCCCGTCTGATCACAGAATGCTGAGAATATCCTACAAATTACAACAAACAAAGAAAAAACGTAAATTTCTTCGAACTAAGAATAAAACGTTTCTACCTATAGAATCAAATGTGATGGGAATGATAGTAACAAGAGAACTAGCTGGAAATCCTACAACTGAAAATATAAATAACCACTATAAAACTATAGTGTCTGCAATACAAAAAAGCACTTCGTACTTACCAACAAATGCGATAAAAAAAAGACCAAGAAAGCAACACTATAAACAATAATATCCTAAAATTAATAAATGAAAGAGAAAAACTTAAGAACACATGGCCACGCTCAGACATAGAGAAAAAAAGGCTAAAGAAACTTTATAGAAAAATAAAGAAAAAAATAATTGAAAGGAAAAATAAAATAAAAATGAAATTGATTGAAAGTGAATTGGAAACAAGAGGCTCTACTAAAAACAGCCAGAAAAGCCACAAAAAAGAATGGATGCACTCAATAAAAACAAAATCAGGAGAAACTATAACAAATCGACAAAGCATCCTTCTATCAGCTACTGACTTTTATAAAAAATTATATTCGGAAAACCAACAAACGAACCCAGTCGACTTAAATATAAACCAGATACACGATCAAGAACAGGTCCCTTGCTTTTTACTAGACGAAGTCGAAAGCGCTATCTCAAGAATGAAGAAAAATAAATCACCCGGCGAAGATGGCATCACCACAGACATGTTAATAGCAACGGCAGAACAATTGGCACCACACCTGACTAATATTTTTAATAAAATACTTGAAAGAGAAAAAAATACCCGATCATTGGACACATTCAATAATAACACTCATATACAAGAAAGGAGACTCCAAACTAATAGATAATTACCGCCCAATCAGCTTACTACCAACTTTATACAAACTTTTCTCATCACTCTTACTCTTCCGAATCAGTAAAAGCTTAGACGAACAGCAACCACGAGAGCAAGCCGGATTTAGGAAAGGATTTTCAACTGTTGACCATATCTTTACATTGACACAGTGCATTGAAAAGTGCAGAGAATATAACAAACCTATCTACTTGGCATTCGTTGATTATACTAAAGCGTTTGATTCGATTTTACAAACACCATTTATGGAAAGCATTAAAAGAACAAGGAATAAATAATAAAATTATTAGAATATTAAAACTTATATATGACGACTATAACGCCAAAATAAAACTAGAGAGTTATGGGCCACTATTTCGAATTAAACGTGGAGTCAAACAAGGCGACCCTATCTCACCAAAACTTTTTACAGCTCTATTAGAATCAATGTTCAGGAAACTACATTGGGCAAATTGTGGACTTAACATAAATGGAGAATTCCTGTCACATCTACGCTTTGCCGATGACATAGTAATACTGTCAAATACTCATGAAAACCTACAAATCATGCTTTCAACACTAAACACTGTAAGTAAAAATATAGGCTTACAAATGAACATGACAAAAACCAAAATTATGACCAATGACGACCGCATAATTACAACAATAGAGTCATGTGTAATAGAGTATGTAAATGAATACATTTATTTAGGCCAACTCATTTCCCTGGACGATCTCACAGAAAAAGAGCTAAGTCGACGAATCGCCATCTCATGGAAAAAATTCTGGGCAAACAAAGATATATTCAAAAACAAAAAAATACCAATTCACTTAAAGAAAAACTGTATGACAGCACGATTCTACCATGCCTATTATACGGCTGCCAGACATGGTCTCTAACAAAAAAACAAATAAAAAAACTGTCAGTATTCCAAAGAGCAACAGAGAGATCGATGCTGGGTGTAAGACTAAGTGATAGAGTAAAAAATATAGAGATCCGGAAACAAACCAACTTAATAGATGCTGCCGAAATGTACTGCAAACTCAAATGGAAATGGGCAGGACACATAACAAGAGTAAATGACGGAAGATGGAGTGAACGCGTACTTCATTGGTATCCCAGAGACGGCCGAAGGAACAAAGGTCATCCCGTTATGAGATGGAGAGATGAGATACATGACATGGCCGGCAACACCTGGACAAGGGACGCTCAGAACCGACACAGATGGCAAAATATGGAGGAGGCCTTTACCCATAACCGGGTACCCAACTAAATAAACAATTAGTTATTTAATATACTATTAAATATAATACTAACAATAAATTAAGAAAACTAAATACTAACACAGCTAAAGTAATGTTATTTAAGGTTGGCAATAAAAGGCTTTTGAATTTGAATTTGAATTTGAATCGCATTGCAACATTTTATAATTTCTTTTAAATTATCAATTTTAATAAATTGTTTGTAACTCTTTATCACAGCAACAGCTGTTGATAAAAACAATAGTTCATCGAACAATCATTCATCCCATGGTGATAAAATGCTTGAAAGCAGTTCAATCGATTTACTCTTCAAGATAGTCGTGTACGCTTAATTATTGACAGTAAAACAATTATTGAATCAGGTCATCGAGAAAATAAACAGAACTATTTTGTTTGCTATCAGTGAAGTTCGTAAACACTGTTGGTTACATCAGCTTCGTTCAGTAAACATTTGAATACCATACAGAAGTAAGTACTGGCCTCTATTTAATTATTTATGTATTTATTATTTATTAACATTTCGTTGCATGTACAGAAATATATACAAACAATTTACTGCCAATTGTATAGAACAGAAACTATCTTAAGTAATTGAATACTTTTACTACAACCAAAAAAAAGACCCAATTCCCTAAATCGAATTGGTTCGGAAATACTTGACTAATATATAACTATCAACTACATCATAGAACGTAAATTCATCGTCAAAAATATAAAGTACTATGAAATTAACGATGTTTTAAACAATCTACTACAATCCACCTTTCCAAATTTCATTTTAATAAGACAAGTTTTTGATAACCAGTTAATATTTTTTTCTTTTTTTAGATAGCATGGAACGCGTTGCTCGCCGACGGAATCACGAAAATGAAAATGGCTATTCGAAAGAAAAAGATAAAGATCCAGAATTCGTCCACAGGGAGTCCGTTTTAACAGTACTCATGAATGAGTCGCTACACATAAAGGCGATTTATCACATATTTGTCGCCATTTTGATCATGCTTTTCTTGGACACTGTTATTTACGACATTGTGGAACGTGGAAAGCAAGTAAAATATTACTATAATCTTTCTATATTCACTTTTGCCGAATTGAAAGAAAATTTAGCCTATTTAGTTATCATAAGATTATGAATTTTCTTACGAACGTCGTCGTTCTGGTTCAGTCGCCAGTTTCATAATATGTTGTTTAAAAAAGAAATGCTCGTAGTAAAGAAACGCATTTATATTCGATGAAAAACAGCTTTAGATGTTACGTATTTTATACAAAACATTAAGATCTTTATTCAAATTATTTTAGTGAATTAGTGTGACTGCACGATTGTCTAAAGTGGTAATAACAGAGTGTCTTCCGCTTAATAGAGTCTATAAGTCGTGCTTATGGACACTTATGTTAAATAATATAGTGAATTAGATATGGAATATATCATTTATTAAAACCTAAACATAACAATCAAATATACAGTATTTACAATTTTCATAACCTTCATAGTAATAATTAAAAATTAATAAAAAGAAAATTGAAACAAATTTAAAAAGTTTTGTCCCTGTGGCAGTGTACTTTGAACGTTGGCAGCATTTCCTCGCTGTATTGCGATACTTATTCGTTGAGCGAGGACCAGCTGGGGTCACCGGTACTATCTACCAGGCGCAAACCTAAATATTTAATTAGCGCCTGTGCACTTGAATCGCCAAAGGGAACAAAATCGAAGTTGCAGGAAAGACTCTTTCTTATATTTGAGTCGCGTATTATTTTCCTTTGACGTTATTTTTTTTCAATTAGATTAGTTTTAAATTACTTATTTGTTAGGCTAGATCGTAATGTTAATTTGTGTCTTTGTGCAGAGACAATTTTTATAAAACTAAAAAAACCTTACGATAGATATACGATAGATCGCTGCATTACTATATACAGTTTTTGTACGTTGACTAAACTGCCGACTATACTTCGACAGTAATCATTTTGATACTTAATATATAAATTAAAAGTATATAATTTTGTGAATAAATTAAATGATGCGTAACAAATGAGAATTGTGGCACGCCGGTTCTCTTCCGCACGGTAAGGTCTCTTTAACTTTGAAGAACTCGAAGCCTAATTGTGCTTACATCTTGTATATTTCCCGGAGATTATTAATTTGAATCTTAAAACAACAAAATATATTTGGGTTTAGTATCGTTAGTGAAACATATTAAATAAGACACAAATGAATTTCACTCTAAAGTGTATTATTCAACAAAACTAAAATTATTATGAATAATTCGCACAACGATGATAAGTCATTTTACGACCAAATTTTATTACATATGTTGAGAAGGGGAATTCAAATAATCCAGAAATAACTATGCGAGACAATAAGTCCACTTAATACCATTCTAAATCGGTTCTAAAATTATGCAAATGACCCCTTAAAGCCTACAAAGTACTTTGGAGCTTCACAGAATTAATGAAACTATTGTTAGCGTAGTTTAATTAAATTAAGTTATGTTATAAAACACTCCTTTATCCGTTTCTTTCCAACATACTATAGTATTTATAACATACTATATATAGTATACGTAGTCATAGTTGTCAATTACATTATAATACAAATTTGAGTGTCATATCGATTCTTAAAAGGCAACGTAATCCCCAGGATTGTGTAATTGTTAGAGTCCATGAACAGCAGTATCACTTTATGTGATATTTGCCCCTTGATCTACATAAAAACATATGAAAGGCGCAACAGAGCTACGTTTTAATGGCTGAATATTAAGCAATTCTTATTAGATGAAGTAAGATTAGTGTTTCCGAACGTTTCTTATCTATGCCCCACCGTAGCCTTACTAAAATTCTTAGCCCCAACTCCATTCCAACATACATACATAACTTTAAGTTTTAAAAATTTTATCGTTAAATTAAAGAAATTTCAAAGATACCTATCATATTTTTAATTTTTAGAAATTTGTTAACGATATACAATAAGGAAAACATCCACATCCCCCGTTAACAATTAAATTGCCCCCCTGTCAGGCGTTGGCCCCACGTTGGGTAACACTGAGTTAGATAGATATTAGATTAGTCCGCGGACTCACTAAAGCATTCTGTCCAAAACATTATTGATACTATTTTAGTTAGCAAGGCTTAAGCACAAAGCTGTCATTATTTTTGTATGACATATTATGACAGGGTATCGACTATCCATACAACTCGTATAGTAAGTTCTCTGAGAACAGTTTTGCATATTTTAAGTTCCGAACCACGGTGCACAAATATCTATTGTTAACATATATTAAAGAAACGCGTCTTACATAAACTTGATACGAAATCTTCACAAACAAAATGAATACGAAATTGAATTTTCCAGATTGAATGTTGGTATTGCATCCGTGGTGTATGGTTTCGGGGACATCAAACGCGCCTTCAAGATTTGGCTGTTCGAGCTTACTCTCGCTCTTATATTCTATCCGGGGCTACGGATATATGCAGCTACGAGAAAATTGGTGAAAAAAAGTGCAGGTAAGGACAATATTTGTCTATGATATTGGATAAATTATTTTATAGAGGTAACTCTGGCCTGTGACTAAGAATTTTGAATATTGATTTTTGATTTTGAACATTTTCTCCAATAATAAGTTACATTATTCCTTCACGGGTGGATAATGAATAGATAATAGTTCCACTGTGCATTCTATCCATGCGATGTAAGTACCGGCAACAAGTATTATTTCTAAAAAGTTTATAAAAGAAATAGTTTTAGAGTAAAACACGCTAATTAAGAGAGTATTTTTATATAGTATCATAAATAATGATCTGAATCTTGTAGTCATAGATTTTAAAATATTATTTATTTAAATAGAGCAGTGTTGGCCTAGTAGCTTCAGCGTGCGACTCTCATCCCTGAGTTCGTAGGTTCGATCCCAGATGGGCACCAATTTGCGCATTTAACATTCGCTCGAACGGTGAAGGAAAACATCGTGAGGAAACCGACATGTCTTAGACCTAAAAAGTCGACGGCATGTGTCAGGCACTGGAGGCTGATCACCTACTTGCCTATTAGATTGAAAAATGATCATGAAACAGATTCAGAAATCCCAGACCTAAAGAGGTTGTAGCGCCACTGATTTTATTTATTTAAATAATAAAAGAGTACTACTGTAACCCCGGCGGCAGATTCCAGATTTTGACCGTATGACAAGTCAGTAGTTGATTATTTTTCATTACGTGCCGGACACAGATTAAAGAACGCAAAAAGGAATTGCGCGGGCTTCAAGCTTTATCTTCTCAAATGAAGCCAAAAAGCCAGCAAGTTCAATAAAAATGAAAAAAAGCCAGTCACCGGATCATCAATCATTTTCTTATTAACTCAAAAAACTTTAACAAAGCCTACGTCGATTGACACCAAGCTTAATAACACAGTATGACAATGGTTTTATAGAAAATTTTAATATTTTAAAAGGATGAGAAAGACCCGCTGTGGGAGATTTATATGTGTATGACCATCTGCGCCAAATCCGCCACAAAAAGTATTAGGCATTAATCTCAGAAATCAAAGTTTGCACAGCGTTGGTACACGAAATATTGTTATATAGGATTATTTCTACCGCTGCAGCTGTTTATATACGTACTTATAATAAAACCCCAGGCCCCTGAGGCTTTTACACAAATTATGTTACGGCGTGACCCGCTTTCATGTCTATGACGTGTATGACAATTATTATTTAATTATCAATTGATTAATTTAATTTGTCACAATATTTAATTAAGCTTCGTGGTGTTGTGGCATATGGCAGCCCCCTGCGGATTCGATTCTCGGGGAGAGGTTAATGATGTGAAGTAGTGTTGCCGCGTATTGCTTGTCTTAAAATTTATTTATTTAGTTATTTTTACTTCATTGCCATAATACACATAATTATACATATAAAAAAAGTAGGTTACATAAGTTATTAGGCAACGGGCGGCCTTATCGCTAACAAGCGATTTCTTTCAGGCAACCCTAATATGGAACAATAGAAAAAAATTTTTTCTAAATTTTTGGCAGGAAAGGCTAAATTAGCCTCCAAAAAGCCTGGTGTGCTCAGCAAGGCGAGACGGTACTTCACTCCGGGCCACCGCATGCAACTATAAAAAGCGCAAATTCGGCCCCACATGGAGTACTGCTCTCACCTCTGGGCGGGGGCTCCCCAGTACCAGCTCCTTCCACTTGACCGTATACAACGCAGAGCGGTTCGAATCGTCGACGACCAATCCCTCTCCGAGCGGCTTGATCCTTTGGCGTTGCGTAGAGATGTGGGGTCACTCTGCATCTTCTACCGCATTTACCATGGAGAGTTTTCAGAGGAGTTGTTCGGATTAATACCTGCAGCTGAGTTTCATCATCGGACGTCGAGGCAGAATACGAAATTCCACCCGTATCACCTCGACGTCCGACGTTCCACAACTGAGCGTTTTTCAAGGCAGTTTTTGCCGCATACCACCACTATGTGGAACCAGCTGCCCACTGAAGTATTCCTGAACCAATTCGACTTAGGGTCCTTCAAGAAAAGAGCGTACCAATTCTTAAAAGGTCGGCAACGCACTCGCGAGCCCTCTGGCATTGAGTGTCCATGGGCGGCGGTATCACTTAACATCAGATGAGCCTCCTGCCCGTTTGCCCCCCGTTCTATAAAAAAAAAAGAGGGTAAAGTACATGATATGCATAAGTAATTAACAAAAATATACTAAAAATTACATTTACAATTAACTAAAATTAAATAAAATAAAATCTAAAGAAAAAATATAAATAATAGTATGTATAAACAGACACGTAAAAGCTCAGTCTAAGGTTAATTGACTTTATTGATTAAAAATCCTCACTGAACAGACGCAGAGATGGTTTAACTTCAAAAATATTGATTGATTTATTTATAATTTATTTATTTATTTACACTTTGTTGCTTTATGATATAAAAATTTAACAAAATTACAAGTAAAGGAAAGGCAACTGGCGGCCTTATCGCTTTCGAGCGATCTCTTCCAGGCAACCACTGTGAGAAAAGAAAAAAGAAAATGTATTAAATTACATAAGGTAGGCAAAAAGTGCATAACATATACTTGTAAAGAAAAAGAAACTAAACAGGAACAAAAAAAAAGATTTAATAAGGTTTAAAAAAGTTTTATTTATTTATAAGTTCCAAATCTCTCAGACAATATACAAAGCCAAAACAGATTACATTGTTTAACGAAATATAAGAAACAAACATAAAAAAAGAAAACTGAAATTAAACATTAACTACAACTTAACATTTTAAAGAAAAAATAAATTGTTACTGCTGCTAAAAAAAGTCAAAGACCTCCCGCTTCCTTTCTTCCTTTCCTGGCACCCTTTTTGTTGTTCTAGAATAGAATAGAATAGAATTTGTTGTTCTCTCCGCGTTGTAGTTGTTCAAAACCCGAAACATTGGCGAATTAAGCAGATTATTCGTGTTAGTACGACACATGGAACAATTGTGATTATTTTGACAGGACACCATAGAATACAGAACCATTGTAAAACCGGGGCGAGTTCGTCTTCTAGATCGTAGTTTTTACCGATTTGCATTCTGTGGCGCACACGTCATTGGTAAAATGAAACGCGTAACAATTGTCGATAAAGGTTGTTGTACTGATACTCCTCCCTAAAGGGAGAACCCTCGACTAAAATTTAAAAAAATCAAAATTCAAAAATCATTTAATCATATAGGTAACACATTGTACACTTATGACTTGTCAGTAAAGAAATACTTATTAATGCTTCTAATTTTACATTTAGTGCCAGTTCTCAAATCAAGGGCGTAGAACGGAAGAGAAGATCTGGCAATAAACTCTCCGCCACTCTTTTTAATCGCCATGTTTTTTTTACACAACGTTTGTAAGGAGCTGCAACCATTAAACCATGTTCCACATGACATCTTAAGTAATTAATAATAATAACATAAATTAAAAACAAAGAGTTGTCCTCTGGGGCCTTCAGGTTACTAGTGTAACTACTAACCTGAAGGCCCCAGTGGCTACAGTCGAGATGTTGTATATATAGCAGAATCACTTTGTTAGCGCGATTTAGAATGTGACGTCATCGAACTAATAGGCACAATTAAGGCTTATGTCGTCGTAAAGCAATTTGATTAGTAGATTACCCTCTGGCAACTCATTTGACAATTTATTTGGTTTAATCTGTGCACATGTTAGTAAAACATAAACGTTTAAAACACGTGTATGCTAATAAAATCCGGGAAATATATTTGAACTCAAGGGAAAGCCTGCCTAGAAAATCATATATGGATATAATAAAAATACTATATAACATATCACAATTATATTTAAATTTCGTATATTACAATAAAATATAATTTTCAGAAAATCTCACGCAAGAAGCTAAAGCTAAAGAAAAACCTGTTTGGTAATTATTATAGTAGATAACTTTACTTGAAAATTCGGTGGCAGTTGTTGTAGATATGTTCAAATATATATTTTTTTTATGTATGTTTTTGTATAAGGTAATAAGGTGTAAATATATAAATAAACTAACTGTTCCCTACCACGCTTTGCTGTAGTACATTGTGATTGGATGGTTGAGAAATGAGAAACAAAACAAAGAAATCATTTCATATAAGTTTAATTTTGCATTACTTGTGGAAAAACATAAAAAAATTGTTAAGATAAAGAAAAAGATTAAAACAATCCTTGATGCGGATAATATATGATGGTGAAATTTCAGCTCGATCGTGAAGAATTTTTTGAGTATAATTTTTTACAGCGTACACAAACCAACATAACATTTTTATATATAAATAGATAAATAAATAAAAGGAACACTTTGTTTGAAGCTGGAAGTCAACTTTAATCGTTAAAATACGAACTTATAACTAACATAAAATTAGGGGTAGTGGGGTTGGGACGCCAACGAAAATCTAAAGTCACTTCAATACAAGTGTAGTCGACCTTTTTGAACATTATCGGTAACAAGAATGTTATATTACAATTTATGAGTGCGGGAAAAACTAAAGGGCTCATTTTGACTTCAAGAGTGCGATAATTGCTATCAAATTATTTACTAAAATATACAGATATAACATAACTAATGTTAGTTATGTTACATTATTATGTAATGTAATAGGCAAAAAATGTATAGCTATACTTTTTTTTTTTTGAGTTTATGGCCTGGTATCTAGACCTTTAGGCCATATAGCTATACTTATGTATAGCTCAGGTATAGAACATGTCAAGAGATTATATAATCTCTTGACATGTTCTGTATCCATGCAATTAACTTTACACATCATCAATGTGAACTGACCCCAAATTATTGATTGAATAATTCAATTAACGATAATGTTATCTTTTTAATTTCTTTTCAACAACGTTACATTGTTGCAGATTGAAGGTAATTAATATTGTTTGATAAACAAAATAAATGTTATGAAACTTGTTCCAAATATTGCAAAGTTATATTAATTAAAAGTTTTTTTTTTATAAAAGAGACCATTTCTGTTTATAAGCTT